TACCGTATAGCGGGACGTTGACCCAACACCCCCAACCCACATAACGTAACTTCCCGATTTGGACAGATTCTTTTAATGGAGAATTGTTAGGTATGACTCATAATACCAGAATTTGGAGTCTCTTGGAATGAAGAGAAGTCTCTTGGAATTAAAGAGGTGTGTCTCTTGGAATTTAGTGGGTTGACATCAGCGTGCGTGCAGCAGAAGCATGGTGGCCCAACCCACATTGGTGCAGGTGTAACTCTCAGGTATCTTTTCTCCTAAGGGGCTGGATATTCGCCAAGGTGGAGATTTGTTATGGTATGACTCATATACCATATAGGGACAGACGCTGGAACGAAGCGGAGCAGAGCGGAGCGAAGCGGAAGAATCTGTCCAAATCGGGAAGTTACGTTATGTGGGTTGGGGGTGTTGGGTCAACGCTCCGCTATACGGTACATGGGTAATTTGGGAATTACATATTGTACTGTAGGGTTTATTCTAGGATTATAAATAGAACTGTTTGTAATCCTAGGTCTTTGAGAGAGTTGGATCCTGATTTCTGTAAATCCTTTTCTGAATATTGAAAGGAACTCGCCGCTCTGCTCCCGAGGACGTAGGCATCTTTGCCGAACCTCGTTAAATCTCTGTGTTCTTCTGGATTTGTGTCGATTACTATTTTATTCGCCCCTAATTTTCTGACAGGTTTGAAAAGCATTTTTTTGTTTAAAATGTGGATTATAAAGTGTTAAGACCAACAATGAAAGTTAGAATGTGGCTAAGATAAGGAGCAGGAAAAAACCAGCATGGCACAAAGACCTCATTATGAGAAAATTTGTCATAACCTAGCTTGCCGAAAAAGTCCTTATAGTTAGTAACTATTACTTATGATTATACGTTAGTCATTTTTACATTTGTTAGGATTTGTTTTACTAATGGTTAGGTTTCCTAGCCATGTCGGTTACCTAGGGAAGGCGGTTAGAAATATTATATAGAGTGTATAAATATAGAAATGGAAACTGACGATGGGGCAGCTACTGCTATTCTTCGAATCGACTTGTCTAAATTCTCTCTATCTTCCCTCTCTTTCTCCTGGAGCTTTGGCAAGGCTCGAACATTGCCAAGTTGACTTCTATTTTCTTTTTTTATGGATTTTTATCTATAATTTTTGTGCTCTTGTTGAGGCTTCCTGGTGTCGGCCACTAGCTTGCTCGACCTAACACCATAGCAAAGAACACTCGATTCAAAGCCAAAGTTGTCGATCTCCATCCAACTGTTAGCGATCAACTTCAGAGCCTCATCAAGAAGATTCATGACGTGCAACTTCACCTCACCATGTTGGAAATGAAACAATCAATTCGTCTCCAATCCTTCATAAGAAGAATCATGGGCTAATTTACCTACTCCTCTAGCCACACCCAATACGACCACCAACGCAAATCCCTTCAAGAAAATGCACATCGTAATCCCTCTCTTCTCCGACGGCAGCCCAGAACCATGGATTCAAAAGATTGACCAATATTATTCCTTCCATGAAGTTTTGTGCTAAAAAAAACGGTTTTTGTGGCTTTCCAAAACTAATTTGCTACAATTTTAGGAAACTTTCATAATGGCACTCTATAGTGGCTTGGGTCCTATCGTGACCTCTGAGGTGAACTCGCTAAGCTCACACAAAATCAGTAGTTGAATATCAATTTCAATTCAAACAACTATCTGACCAAATCACATGCATTGATGAACTCTTCTTATAAAATTGTTTTGAATCAAGCCTTCAAACTTACATTCATAAAGAAGTATGTATTAATCTCCCCGCATCTTTGGATCAAGCAATTGAACTGGCAAAACTTATTGAAGGTATATTCAATTACTATTAATACATTTTGGGCCCACCACCGTCTCATTCGTAATCAGCCACTCCATACGAATTTCAACCAAATCCACATCAGCTATCCACCAAAACCCCAATTCTCATTTGTCGCCTATCAACCGTAGATCTGTTGGCTTGTTGCGAAAAAAGATTATGCTACAATTGTGATGAGAAGTTCACTCGTGGTCATTTATGTAAAGGGAAGATGTTTGCCTTAATGATGACTAACGAAGACCCGCCAAGATCCAATCTTAGTTTCGATGTAATTAGAATCCCTACCCCAACTAAACCCTAAAAAATCCAAATAAAACCCGCCACTGCCCAGCAATCACTCTCATACTTAAGCCGGTCAAACCCTTCCAAATACTATACGCATTAATGACAACAAAAACCATAGACCAGCCCTAGTCCTCATTGATTGCAGCTCCGCCCATAATTTCATCCAAGATCGCTTGGTTAAACACCTACAATTACCTATCACCCAAATCTCTCCATTCCATGTGCTAGTGGGCAATGGTGAAAGCTCCTCTGTCAACAAAAATGTTTTAATGTTCAGCTCCATCTTCAAAACCATTTAGTTATTGTCAACATCTACATACTGTTGCTAGAAGGTGCTGATGTCATCTTTGTAGTTCAGTGGCTTCAACAAGTGGGAGATGTCAGCAATACTCACAACACAATATCTATGAAATTTCAACGGCAAAACACTCCACTTAAACTTGAATTCTATAATAGCATCCCCATCTATATCACCATCAAGACTTGCGATATCTAAAACGTTCACTCTTTTTAATGACTTGATCACCCATTGTTATAACTCCGCCACTAGATCTATTATTACTAAAACTACATTACATATATTCAATTTTAGATCTACACAAATGAAAGCTTTTAGAATCTAATGTTGACCTCCATAATTCAAGTTTTTCCTGAACTCTCTCTCTAGCGATATCTACGAGAAGTATATCATCGGCGAAAAGAATACAATAAGATACATCTTCCTGTAAATGTTCAATAAGTGTGTGCATAACTAAAGCAAAAAGATATGGGCTTAATGGTGATCCCTATTGTAATCCAAATGAAATTAGAAAATACTTGATCAATTCTCCTTTTGCTCGAAGAAAAGTAACAACTCTAGCATAAATATTTTTAATGATTTGAATATAAATAATATCAGCACTTTTCTTTTCTTAATGCATGTCATAATTTTTTGATAATTTTTACGCTAGTTGTCTACTACCTAATGCAACCCTCAACATTTCTCTTTCGGGTCTTGGGGCAAACCAATGACAGTTTTGGTATGCATAAACTCGGCATTAGATCAAATCACTTTCATCAACTAAAAAAACTGCAGCATTCTAGTGCTATTCTTCACTATTTCAGCTAGCTACAATCTCCAGTCCATCTCCACCAACTACTCAAACGTACTACCGCCTACCATTGATAATCAACAACCTCATTACTCCTCTCCCCGCATGTTTCAAACGCCTAACTAACTACCATCACCCTGAGCAAATGGCCATAAAATCGGCCTCAAACTGAGAAAATCACCCATTAACATCAAACCATACCGATACCCTCATTTCCATAAATTAGCAATTTAGCATTGGTTCAGGAAATGTTTTCTCGAGGCTTTATCTGCCTAAGTACATTTTGGAAGGAGCTTTTCAAAGCAAAGGGTGCAAAATTACATTACAGCACGGGCCATCACCCGAAGATAGAAGGACTAAGGGAAGTTACCAAACGCGGCCTAGAACAATACTTTCGCTGCTCTGCAATGGATAACGTTTCAAAGTGGTTTCCATTATTTCCATTGGCTGAGTACTCTTATTACACAGCTTACCACACAGTCATTCGTCAAACTCCATTTCAAGCTCTCTAAGGTCGTCTTCCACCACCCATACATTCATATGTTGGCGCTCAATGCAATGACGAAGGCATCGATACTCTCCTACAGGATAGAGACCCTGCAGCAACTTAATTACCATCTCCTTGACGCCCAAAATCGAATGAAGAAATGGGTTGACAAACACCGACAAGATGTCCAATTTTAAGTTGGTGATCAGGTTCTTATCTAACTACAATCATATCGGAAAATCTCAGCATGCCAAGAGTCTTCTCCAAGTTATTTCGTCGTTACTATGGTCTGTATACAGTACTGGAAAGAGTCGGAGAGGTAGCCTACAAACCTTGACCTTCCTGCCAAATTACACATACATCATATGTTTCATGTGTCCCTACTCAAGCCCTTTCGACAAAATGAAAAATGACATCCGAGAACTCTTCCAGTCAATGTCTGGTTCATCCACCTCTTGTGATGCCACAACTATTTGAGCCACACACCAATGACAAAAAGGGACCACTTCATCAACAAAATATCTGGTTCAGTGGGAGGGACTTCAACTGGAGGAATCAACAAGAATTGCGGCTACTGAGCTTACAATGACATCGTTCTTTGCTGATCTTGAGGACAAGATCAATTCTGAATACGGGGAGGAGATTGCTAAGGCCAACTATGAAAGTGAGAGTGTAGCTAAGACACGGATCGGAAAAGAGCCAACATGGCACAAAGACTTCATTATGAGAAAAATGGCATAACCAAGCTTACCAAAAAAAGTCCTTATAGTTAGTAAATATTACTTAATGAATATACTTCAGTCATTTTCAAGTTTGTTAGGATTTGTTTTAGCTAGTGTCCAGTGCCATATTGGTTACCTAGGAAAGGTTGTTAGAAATATTACATAGAAAGTATAAATATAGAAATAGAAATGATGAGGGGGCAGCTACTGCTATTCTTCCAATTGCTTGGTCCAAATTCTCTATTCCCTCTCTTTTTCTCTTGTAGCTTCGACAAGGTTCGAACATTGCCGAGTTACCCACTGTTTTCTTGTTTTACAATTTGTATTTATCAAAAGTTGCTTTAATTTTTGATTAGGGGAAACATACGTAATTTTTTTTTCTTCAAGTCCTTCAAGTTAATGTGGGTATTTGCATATATTAATGACAGTATATGACACTTACCTGAACTTTATGTTTATCTAATCGTTATGCTCTTTTGTTTAATTTAATATATTAACATGTTCCTGTAATACTTATAGATTAGAGCTTTTTAATGGGCAAGAGTTCGATAAATGGGTGGAGAAAGCAGCAGCCCCTGCTATAAAGTCCAGCTTGAAGCTGTACAAGGAAGTGCTGGACCTGGGCTTCAAGGTTTTCTTGTTGACTGGTAGGAGTGAAGCGCAAAGGGCCATTACTGTCGATAATCTGAAATGTGTTGGTTTTCGAGATTGGGAGAAGCTTATTTTAAGGTAATGCCTGAACTTTTTCCACATTTGTTATAATTTCATTATCTTCTCTTTCATTAGCCTTATTATTTGGATTTGGCTTTATAAATTTTCATTCTTCATCATGCATGCACTCTGCTCAATGTCACATTACAATTCTGTGCAAATATTTTTGCACTTTCATCCAGTGATTTTGAATTTGCCCTTACATATCTTCTTACATTAATTTAATCCGTTCAATCATAGTAGTTAATTTTTCGACTGAACATAATTTATCACCTCACTTTTAATGAGTTTTTTCTCTGAAGTTGTCTTTGATTCCTCTTTCAAAATGCAACTCATTATCATTATTATGAAGCATTCTGGTCACAAGTATGACACCACCAATGTACCAACATTTATGAAAGAACTTTTCCTATAGTATTATTGTTATTGAAGAAGTAATCATGGAAGGACAACAAATTTTGTTTTTATTCCAATGCCACCACATCCTTAAATTGTTTATTGACTCAAGAAATCATTTGTGATCATTTTTTTTTTTTTTAGATTTTAGATTTTAGATTTTTATGTTATTTAGTTTATTTTTTAATTCAAATAATATATGTTTGTTTTGTTATAACATGTTCAGTTCAAAATAATTTTTAGATTTTCGAGTGTTTTTAAATACGAGCTTATTTGTTTTTCAACACAAAATAAATATGCAAAAAATGCACTAAACATATAATTTTTCAAAATAAAGTAAAAGCAAGAACCCATACAAGTTATTGTTCCCATATGTTATATAAAGGCAGACAGCCCTTCCTTGCAAGCTACCATATTCTTATTGATTAGATTGTGCAAGCATTTCCTTTTCAAATCTCCTACGACAGATTTACCTAACCATTATTTCTCCCAGAGGAACAGGAGACCAAAGAAAATCGGCCAAGTTGTACAAGTCCGAGAAGAGGTCGGAGATAGTCTCAGAAGGCTACAGAATTCACGGAAATTCTGGCGATCAGTGGAGTGATTTGCTGGGCTCAGATGCAGGAAACCGCTCATTCAAGCTTCCAAACCCAATGTACTATATTCCCTGATAAGCATTCTCTTACTAATAAAATCCATTTCAGATGCATAACTAGTCAAATAATTTCAAGTGTATGATAAATTCATCTGCACAGTTAGCAAAAAATGGTAATAATCCATTTGGACAACAGCATGTACATTCCTGTATTGATATTTTACTTGGTTCTTTAGTTAGTACAACATTGATAACAACATTGGGAAAAAAAGAGAGCCCTAAATCCACAATACTTAGATGATAGCAAGGCTAAGTCACCATGTGCAGATATGATAAAAATTAACTTTTTCTTAAAGAAAAAAAGGTAACATTTTTATTGATAAAAGAGAAGGAAAAATAAAGATAAATTTCATACTAAAATTAATATTGATGTTATATATTCTTACTATAGAAGTTATTCATGTAAAGTAGGATTTCCTTTACAATAAAACAACAATGGAAAAGAAATATGTTAGATGGATATGGCAACACTAAGCAATAGTATAAAAAAATTCAAAATGTCTTCTAGATAAATGTTAGTAATCTTGAAGAAGAGCTTGAAATATATGCTTAACGGCTCAGAACTACCAAGGGGATTTAAATTATGATCAAATGTATAATTAACTTATACGAATTTACACTCAAAATTATACATGATATGCATAAAAGCTTATTATACTAATGAAAAAATATGTTTACTTCAATAAGTTATTTTAGTAAAAAACATACTACTTCACATCATGACTTAGATAACATGAGAAAGAAACTTGAAATATTTTTATATTTCTTCTTCAATTTGAAAATGTAAAATGTCTTATTGCAGGAAGATTGCTTGTGATTGCATTGTTCTAAACTTCTTGTACAAATTAGGAAACTATATATATATATATATATATAGTTAAATCTAGAATCTCAGTAGTAACCAATATTATATAATCAACTTAAACTTTACCCTTTCTTAAAATAGGAAGTTTAGGTAGATTTAGAGTGAACAACAATCGGTAGATTGCTCAAAATAAATTATACTTTTTAATACATTAAAGAGAGATGAATAAATATTTTTCAGAATAATATTATTGAATATTAAGATTTACTTTAACTAAAGTGATATAATATTTCAATGCATGTGCTATATCTATCAAAAATAATATTTGTATGAAAACTAATGTCAGCATTAAATATATATTAGAAGCAATAATATCAGTACTTTTTACCATAACATCAAAAGTAAAATAACATAACAAAAAAATAATTCAACATTTTATTTAAAAGATTTAATAATTTTTCTTTAATGCATGCAAGAAGGTTTGCGGCTGCAAAGTAATTATTTAGTGTCTTAATATTGAACAAAACTCCAACACATTCAGATAAAAAAAAGAAGTAAGCAGCAGGAGACAGCTTGATTTTTACATGAAAAACCCTAGAGAGGCGCGTTGAAATAATTCATTGTGAACGGTGAGTACACGGGTTCACTCTTATTCTTAATTAGAGAAGATGAAGTTACAAAGTTGAGCATTGTAAATATACAACAATAGTTACTAATAATATTTCTAGTACGACTAATGAATGTTGCTCTTGGTGATTGTAAGTTGTAAGGGCCATAGTCAATTGCTATGCTGACATTAGTCTGCCGTGAATATTGTAGATGATGATTAAAGCTCCAATTTGTCGCATAAGCAGTAGTCGAAAGTTAGTCGTATGGGCAACAGATTGCTGCTTCAGCAGCGTCTGTTGGGCATAGAGGCAGTAGTAGAAAGCTATAAGAGCTGTGAGCCACATAGGTTGTAGCTGGTCACATAGATCGTAGTGGTGAGCTATGATGACGTCTGCTGGTCATTGGGGTCGGAGCCGAGAGCCACACGAGCTGTGGACCATGTAGATCGTAGTGGCGAGCTGCACGAGCTATGGACCACTTAGATCGTAGTGGCTAGTTGCGATAACATCCAAAGACCATAGGGGCCGGAGTCAGAAGTTGCACAAATTGTGGACCACATAGGTCGTAGTTAGTGGTGTAGGTCATAATGGCGAGTTGTGATATTATCCATAAGTCGTAGAGATAAGAGTTTGGAGATGTACGAGTTGTGGACCGCATAAGTCATAGTTCGTCATGCAGGGCATAGTAGTGAGTTGTGATAACGTTCATTGGTTATAGAGGCTAGAGTCAAGAGCCGCACGAGCTATGGATCTTGTAGGGTGTATTTGGTCATGTGGGCTATAATTGTAAGCTATGATGACACCCATAAACCATAAGGGCCATAGTCAAAAGCTGCATGAGCTCTGGACCACATAAGACATAGTTGGTCACATAGGGTGGTGGTGAGCTGTGATGATGTTTGTAGGTCATAGAGGTCGTAGTCTACAGCTACATGAGTTATGAGCCACATAGGCCATAGTTTGTCACATAAGCCTTAGTGATGAGTTGTGATAATGTTCGTAGGCTATGGGGGCCAGACTAAGGAGCTACATGAGTTGTGAACCACCCACGTAGGTCGTAGTTGGTCACATAACATGTAATGGTAAGCTATGATGATGTCTGTAGGACAAAGAGGCTAAAGGCAGGAGCTGCATAAGCTGTGGAACGCATAAGCCATAATTAGTCGGGTAGGGTGGG